AGACAACCGGAGGGAAAGCGCCTGGATCACCGCGAAACCTCATCGGCAGGCCCAGGGGGGTCGCCAGCTTCCCGCTCCCTCCTCCCCCTGCTCTCCCCGGAGGCGAGGGCCTCCGCAGCGGCCGCGCGGATGCAGCCGGGCATGCCCGCAGCATCCAGACCCAGAGGCCAGGGGGCCGCCCCCGCCGCCTGGGGTGGGGGTCCCCGGCCGGCACCCGCAGCCCGCCGGCCCGGGCAGGGGCTCCGACCCACCTGCGGCGGCGCGGGGAGGCTCCGGCTGGGGGCGGCTTCGGCGTCGCTCGCGGCTGTGGGCCAAGCTCCTCGCCGCCCTGCCCGCCCCTGGGCAGCTCCACGTGGCCGCTCCACGTCGCCCTCCGGGCCGCAGCCGCCGCCCTGGCCCGGGCAGAGTCCTGGGCGCCAGCTCGAGGGCAGGGCAGCCGCCCCACCCTGACCCGCCGAACCCGGGAACCCGGCCTCCGCAGCCTCCACCAGTCTTCCTCCGCTGGGTCCCCCGAAAGTGAGTGTGTGTGAGTGTGTGTGAGTGTGTGTGTGTGTGTGTGTGTGAGAGAGAGAGAGAGAGAGAGAGAGAGAGAGAGAGAGAGAGAGAGAGAGAGAGAGAGAGGCTGACAACTAGATAGACAGCGAGACTAAGAGGCAGATGGTGAGGCTGCGTGAATCACAAGCGTGTTTGTTTCGCGGCGGCGATGCTGTGGGTGCCGCTCCTGCAGGGACAAGACAGAATGCAACTTACTGTTAATGTGTGCGGGTGCGAGTGGTGCCTGTGGCTGTGTGCTTGGCGAGCCTGTGACAGAGTAGGCGGTATTTTGTGTGACTGCGTGACCAGTGTGATAGTGTGAGCTTGAAAGAGTATGGCCGATGTGTGACTGACTGTGTGCGACCATGCCGGAGGATGTCGGTGTCATGTGTGTTAGGCTGTCTGGGTGAACTCTTGCTGAGTTGTTTGAGATACTCAAGTGACAGCAGTGCCTGCTGCTTTCTAGTGACAGTGTCACTGTGTGGCTGTGACCATGCACATCGTTGGGAAGTGGCTCCGTATGAGACACAGAGGGGGTTGGTCTGGGGAGAGTATCTTGAGGGCGATGGCGGTAGTCATTGGCTGGCACAGAGTGCTGCAGAGTGTGGCCGCAGCTCTGTGGTCAAAATGGAGTGTCCTGCTCTCGTCACAGTGTCGGTCCGCCACCAAGGCTCCAGACTGCATCCTCATCCACTGGCCCAAGGACTTAGTTCTTCTTTTTTTTTTTTTTATGGATTTTAGAGACAGAGAGGAATTAAGAGAGAGAGAGAGACGTCATTTTGTTGTTCTGCCCATCCATGCATTCACCAGCTGACTCCTGCACGTGCCCTGGGCCACAGAAACCTTGGTGTATCGGGACGATGCTCTAACCACCTGGGCTATCCTGCCAGGGCAGGATTTAGTTCTTTGAATAAATGGACTTCTTATCTCTCTGGAATCTTCATCTTCTGCCTCTCCAACAGCTGCTTCCCATCAGCATCCACCCCTGCTCTCACCAAGATCATCCTGTCCTCTTCCCTGGGTGGACACTGATGGACACTACCTCCTTGGATCACAGTCTTCATTGGTTTAATCAGCACCATCTTTCTCTCTATAGTCATTTCTTCTTAGTTTTTTTCCATGCTTCAGAATTCCTCTGGGCGGTTTCCTCACTCTCCATCTGTCCTTGTGTTCATCTGTTCATGTCACTGCCATCGCTCTGTATTATGGGTTGAATTGTATCCTCAAAATGTATGTGTTTGAGTCCTAAACCCTACTACCTCAGAATGTAATCTGTGGAAGTAGAGTCACTGCAGATATAATTAGTAACTATGACATCCTACCGGAGTAGGGTGGGTTCCTAATATGACTGGTATCCATATAAAACTGTGGACACACACACACACACAGAACAGTATGTACAGATGCAGAGAGAGATTGTGGTGAAGCTTCTGCATGACCAGGAAGGCCAGAGGTTGCCAGCAAAGCATCAGAAACTAGTGAGGAGGCCTGGGACAGATTCTTCCTCACGGCTCTCAGGAGGAACCAGTCCTGCTGACACTTTTATCTTGGACTTCTAGTACCCAGAATTGTAAGATAATAAACTTCTGTTGTTTAAGATACCCAGTTTGTGGTGCTTTGTTACAGCAACCCTGCAAACTAATGTATTATCTAAATGCCAATGACAACCAATCCTCACATTCTAGTCTCTAAGCTCCAGACTACATCAGAAATTGAACAGCCTGCTGATCTGTGCCTGAATCTTAACTCATCAAGGTGACGGAGTGACAACATGGAGAGGTCAATGCCATTGAAAGAAAAGATGGATGTTACAGTTCCTCTGGAAATAAGAGGCACCGCTTGCCCACAGGCCCACAGCGAGGAGCACCAGTGCAGGGCAGGAGGCAGGACGCAGCAAGGGCAGGATGTAGGCCACAGCCTTTACTAAGTGAGAAAGGCAAGGCAGGGCATGGAAGACACCTTTGGACTGGCTAGTTTGAATATTTCTGGTGGACTTTGGAGGAAAGGGGCTGTCCCTAGCTGTCTGGTACCTGGCCCTGTATCCATTCAGGAGAGAGGGGATGCTGGCTTGGTGTGTGTGCATTAGATGAGGGAAGGGCTCAGAGTAGTGACTCTATCCAGAGTCCTACTCTGGGGTGATGTAAACAACTTTGGCCATTAGTTTGGCTTAGTGGTAATGAACACCAAACAGACAAGTACAGGATCCAAGAAAACACAATTAGAACACCTACCAGCACCCCAGCCTCTAAGTGTCTGAGCCAGAGTGTGTCCCCTTATCCCTTGCACCATCCCCCCCTCAGTTTCCCTATCCCAGAAACAGGCACCGCCACGCATCCGTGAACCAGGGCAGTCAAAAAGCTGGGGCCATCCATGACTCCTTCTTCTCCCCACACCTCCTACCGACTGTGAATGCGGCCTCCCAGCTTGGAGAGCTTCGCCCCGCCCCCCCCATCCAGGCAGCCATCATTCTGCCGAAGTTCTGTTTACAGCACCCATTCTCCAAGTACCCTGAATGATTCTTCTGAAACAACTCTGGCCCTGGCTGGTGTGGCTCACTGGATTGAGTGCGGGCCTGAGAACCGAAAGGTCTTGGGTTTGATCCTCGGTCAAGGTACACGCCTGGGATGCGGGCAGGTCCCTGGCTGGGGTGTGAGAGGCAACCAGTTGACGTATCTCTCACATGTCTATGTTTCTCCCCCTCTCTTTCTCCCTTCCCCTCTCTTTAAAAACAAATAAGTAAAATCTTTAAAAATAAAACAACTCCGATCATGTTGCCCGCCCCTTCATACAACTCTGTTGGCTTTTCTCCACCTTTAGAAAAAACTCGAACATCTTTATGTAGCTACTCACACCCGGCTCCTTGACCATCTCGTGTGCTCCAGACCCAATTTCTCGTTTCCTTTAAGAAGTCTCTCACATCTGGGCTTTTGCTTAGGCTGTTTCCGCTCTTGGAACAACTACTCTGCCTGCCTCCCCCTTGCCTGGGAAACTCCTCACTTTTCGGTTTCAGCTAAAATGCATTGTCATTTAATACTGGGTACACTTTCTCCAATCCCATGGCCTTCCGGAACCCTCCTCCACCTCCCCCTGCAGCTGGACCTTCCCTGACCTAGCACCCCACCCCACCGCAGGGGTTCAACCCTGACCGCGTACTGGAATCTTCCAGAGAACTTCTCAGTTACATTGCTACCTAGTCTCCACTGCAGACCAACTATATTGGAGTTGGGGCCTGGACACTGGTAGTTTTTAAAACCCCCGATGGCTCCGATCTTCAGTCAAGGTTGAGAGCCACTGGGCCTGTGGCTGACTTGTTTCCACGTCCGGTGAAGACAGGGACGGCACCCCTGGGGTGCACCGAGTGCCTGGTACAGGCTGGGTGGGGGGCAAGTATCCGCTGTATTTCCTTGACAGGGATTACATCACACAGAGTGACATTGTGTGAGTGGCTTTGACTCGTGTGTGTGTGTGTGTGTGTGTGTGTGTGTAAGCGCGACCATGTGTAAGCCGCCCACTGCCCACTCCGTAGCCGAAGCCTGATTATGTGACTATGGAGTGAGTGCTGCAGCGCGCCCGGTGTGTCCAGTGTGAGGACCACTGGGAAGGGTGTTGGTTACCACGGGAACCGGCCATGTCCCGAGAGTAAAGGTCACTGTGCATGGCTGTACTCTGTGTGACACGGCACAACGTCACCCTGGAGCCGCTGTGTCCTAGGTGACCAGGCTGCCTGACTCGCCGCCTGCCGCCACCCGGGCAGAGCGCCAGGAAGGGGCTGGAGGGGCCCTCACCAAGATGGCGGCGGCAGGGGCGGCCGCCGGTCCTTCCCAGGGGCTGTCCCGCGAGTGACCGCGACGCGGAAGCAGGAGGCGGGGAGGCGCGGCGCGGAAGCCATTTGCAAGTCACTCGGTTCGGGTTCGGCTCCGCGGTCGAACCTCTGGGCCCCGGACGCAGCACCCCCAACCCTTCGCGGTCCTAGCGCAGCCCCTCAAGGCTCACACACGGCGAATGGGGCCAGGGTCACTGGACCCCACCCCCCCCGGGCAGTGGAGGCGGGACCTGCGCGGGCCATCCAATAGCGCGCAACGGGTGGGTCCGGGCGCGTACCTGCAGGCCTACAAGTCACGGTCACGGTGCTGGGGCCAATCAAGAACTTGCGAGTCAAAACCCAGCAGCACTATGCTGAGCTTCTCCCCGAGCGGCACCTGGACAGAGCTGTTCTTTCTGCTTTTGGGTCTTGGCGCTGCCCTCTACTTGGGCTACTACTGGGCATATGTGCCCCAGGTGGGTGAGGGTCCAGAGCTCTGGCTGGTGGGTAGCGGGTACTCGGGTCTAGGGGACAGCTTCCAGCCCGGAGCTCAAGCCTTTTGCGGGAGTTGGCATGGTTGGGCCTCCCGCCCCAGGTGAAATTGGACGTCTCAACCCCACCGAGACCCTGGCCCTGCGCTCCAGCCAGGCTCCTCTTTGCTTACCACCTTAGGAGAGTCATTTCTTTGCCTGCCTAGATTCTCTGCAGCTCTTATGCTTCCCATGCATCTGGGCCTTGCCGGCATCAGAGGGCTGCTGCTCCCTGTGGCGTGCACAGACATCCGGGGAAAGACGGGTGGAAGGCGTCCTGCGGCGTCAGGGAGACGTGCACACTACTAGGCTTTCCCGTTCCTTTCCGCAGTATAGCTACGTTTCTCAGTAGCTGCACTGAATGAAGGACCCTGGAGGCCTGCGGGGCTGTGGCCAACTCCCAACACCACCCCATCAGATAGCAGGGCCTTGCGTCCTTCAGGGCTGGGGGAAGTTCCACTCCCTTCTGGCTCAGGATTAATGGATAACCCTAACTATGCTGGCTCATTCAGCCTTGTTTTAAGTTCTAGGCTCTCCAAGTACAGTGCAGTTAAAAATTCTGAAGCGTTGATTTTGATGAATTTGGAGATTATATTCTCACTGAAATGTAGATTAAATACCTAATTTACATATCCAGAAAAATCTAAATCTTTTTATCCTCATTAAATTCTGTTCCAAGTAAATGAGTCTAACAAGAAATCTATTGATTCAAGCCCTTTAAACAGATCAATAGGGAATTTTAATGTTACCTGACTTTTCAGAGCTTTCAGCATTCATGTGCATTTTTTTTTATAAAACAAGTCTGCCTTAATAAAACAACTTAAAAAATTCAAACCTCACAAATACTGTATAAGTCCTTACTTTATACAATATGTCTGATTTGGAAAATCACTCACTTCAGACCTGAACTATACATTTGCCTTTGCGACAAGCCACACTGAAGTCAGACCTTTGCCACTTCACACTCCAAACCCTTCCTTGACTTTTCCGTCCTGATTAACATGCAGGGAAAGTGTCACTGTGGAATGCCCTGAAGACATGGCGTTTGGGTTGCCCAGCACGATGGACGGGTATTGATTCTCAGGAATGAGTCAAAAAACACTTCACTATAGTTAAAGTGAAACTAACCCACATAAATCAAACCTGTCACCTAATTTACTGGCACCTTATTCTGCACTACTGAGCTGTTTGACAAGGACTTAATAAATTGGTGACAACAGAAAATCTTGGCGATTAGGAAGTAATGCAGTGCAGTGACTAAGCACAAACTCTAGACGTGGGTTGGAATTCCAGCTCCCCCACTAACTAGCCTTGGCAAGCTTCAGGACCTTTGACAAATTACTTGGCTTTCAAACCTGTATCCACAGAGGGATCACATTACCTGTCTCAAAGAGGTGTTATGAAGATCACGGGACGTTATTATGTAAAATGCTTAGCACAATGCTTGGAGCATAAAGAACACTGAACAAATTTTACCTACTAGTATTAGTGGTGATATAACTATTATTAATTCTGCTTTGCCTCATTTGCTGTGTGGTTTTGGGAAACAACCACATCTCTTTGTGAGCCATAGTTTCTTCACTCATAACGTATCCTGTCTCATAAGGTTGGGCCTAGCCTAGTGCCTGCATGCAGCACACAATGAATGAATCACAGGTGTTATTATCCCAGGGCTCGAGAACCAGGGTTCAACTCACATCTCACAGCAGTCGCACTACCAACCTGGCCTCTCTAGTTCACGATTTAGCTAGACTCCTCTGCTACCAAGACTGCAGAAGAGTTAAGAGTCTGGTCCTCGGGTTCCTTAGGTCCTGCAACAGAAACGCAGTTTCTGTTTCTTGAGTCTGAAGTCTTTTGGCTTTGCACAGCATACTCCTTCAGAAGCCCTCTATGTGGCCAGTCCCCCTCACTCCCTTGGTCTGCCCGGGAGCACCAAGCAGAGGGGTTGTAAGTCAGCCTCAGGGCCCACTCAGCCCACCCGCCCTATCTAGTGACTAGATAACTAGATAACACTAGTTATCTAGTGTTATCTTCTTCCTGGCTGGTGTGAAGGAAGAGATCTGCTCATGTGGCCTAACGGCAGGGGCCCAAGGGAGAAAGTGAGGTGCTGCGTAGGAAGACGCCCTTCAGTGGTGAGCACACCCAGTAGGGAATAGAAGTATGCAACAACGCGGTGCTAAAATCAGGGGGAGCCAGTGGCCAGAGCTTGTTTTGGGAAGATGACAGTGGTTGACAGTGTGGAAACTTCAACTGCGAGGCAAAGCTCACAGATCCAACGGTGCTGCATTTCTTGAGCTTCTGCCTGGGGTCCCAACCCTTCCTGCCAGGATCGGCCAGGCAGTTTACCTACGTTACCTGCTAATTCCACAGTGGGGTGGTGCACGGATAGGCTGGGGGGGGGGGTGGTCAGCCCCTGTCGGCTGCGGTAGCTCCCAGCCCTGGTTCTGAGCCAGTGCAAGGTCGGTCCTGGAGAGGTGGCCCTCCAGGACCACAGTCCTTTCGGCCTCTAGCTGGACTATGTTAACAGGTGACTCGGCCATTCCAGACCGAGGTATGCTAGACTTCTCATCGCCAGCAGCAGCAGTGCCCTCCAGGATGCCCTCTGGAGAGGGGTCACCGGTGTCAAGCGCCCTCACTGGCTTGGCACAAAAATCGGGAGAGTGAGGCAGATTGTGTTGTGATTGCAGAAGCCTCGACTGGTGACAGGGTCCCGGTTTCTGGCCTTCCTGGAGCAACACTGTCCAATCACCGTGGAGACTTTCTACCCTACGCTGTGGTGTTTTGAGGGGCGGCTACAAACCATCTTCCGAGCCATACTGCAGCCTCGGCCTCTAGTCCTTTACTGGAGGTAAGAAGGGTCAGAAGGGGCAACACCAAGTTGCAAGTACAGGGGAACCCTGTCTACCTCTTTTGAGATTAAAGCAATCTTGGCCCCCACCTACCTCAGTGTGTTGAGGGTAACAACGGGAGTGGCCCTGTGGAGGGCTACCTAATTGCCCGTGAGGTAACATTTAACCTGTTCTGTCCCCTTTACACTTTGTTAAAGCCTTGGTTGGCCAGATGTATGCCCTCACACGATGCTAATGGGAAGTCATGGGAGTTGTTTGGTAGGGCGGGGGTAAACCTCTTAAATACACAGAGTTCCTAATGGTATCGGGGTGCCCCTTCCCCCAAACCACAGTGAAGTTCTCCAGACCCCAGACGGAGGACAGCTGCTGCTAGACTGGGCCGGCAGGCCAGGCGGCAACCGGCACCCAACCCCCGCCACGCAGCCCGTTGTACTGCTGCTTCCCGGGATAACGGGCAGTAGCCAGACCACCTACATCTTGCACCTAGCTGACCAAGCTTTGAGGGACGGTTATAGGTAAGGATGGCACAACCCAGAGGGGTGGGGTGGTATCTAAGAACTGGTAACAGGGAGGTCAATTCAGATTGACAGCTATGGGGAGGTGGTGCTCTATGAAAGGTACCTTCTGGCTGGGCTCTTTCTGAAAGCTGCCGAAGAGGAGCGGCTTTTAGGGAGAGTCTGGCTAAAATGCACCTGTGTGTGCCACAGGGCTGTCGTTTTCAACAACCGGGGCTGCCGTGGGGAAGGACTGCTGGTGAGTACCGTCGTAACGGCTCTTCACCCCTTCCCTGGAGACCCTTGGCCCCTGGCCTCTGTTCACCTGCCCTCCCATTTTTCTGCCATCTGGCCCGGGGTTCCCTCCCTACCCAACGACCTGGTTTGCCTCAGACCCACAGGGCCTTCTGCGCCAGCAACACTGAGGATCTGGAGACGGTCGTGAGCCACATAAAGCACCGCTACCCCCGTGCTCCGCTGTTGGCTGTGGGGATCTCTCTCGGAGGGTAAAGGCTGCCTGGGCTTAACCCCAACGCCAGGCCTCCCGTTGTTTCCTCCTCCTCGTCTTCTCCCCGCCCGCCTCCTTCGTCCACTCACTAACGCAAGCCCTTCTTTCACGGCCACTGGCCCAACCCTGCAGGATATTAGTGCTGAACCACCTGGCACGGACCGGACGGGCTGCAGGGCTGGTGGCGGCACTGACTCTGTCTGCATGCTGGGATCCCTTTGAGACCACCAGCTCCCTGGAGACCCCACTCAACTCACTGCTCTTTAATCAGCGCCTCACTGCGGGGCTCTGCCAAGTTGTGGACCGGTAGGGTCTCGGCGAGTGGGATGGGGCAGCAGACTGGGCAGGATGGCAGACGTGCCAGGTCCTCCCAGTGTCGAGGAGCAGGGCCAAACCCGTGCTCTCTTTTGCAGGAACAGAAAGGTGATGGAAAAGATGGTCGATGTAGACTTTGTGCTACAGGTATAGTCTTTCAACCACGTTTCCTCCACCCAATTCTTCCAGTATCTTCCTATTCCCTACCCTTATCCTAGCCTACCCCACCCTCCACCACCCACAGGCCCGCACGATCCGCCAATTTGATGAGCGCTACACAACTGTGGCCTTTGGATATAAAGACTGTGTTACATACTACCACGCAGCAAGCCCAAGAACTAAAGTAGGTGCTATCCAGACACCTGTGCTCTGCCTCAATGCAGCTGACGACCCCTTCTCCCCAGCCCATGGTGAGCATGCTCAATCTCGATGCTTTAGGCGCCAAGGACAGTGAGCCGTGAGGTGAAGTGGAGAGAGCCTGGGTTCTCGGTAGAGGCCTGGGCTCCTGACCTCCTCTCCACCCTCTCCCCCAGCCCTCCCGCTACAGGCTGCCCAGCAATCTCCCCATGTCGCACTGCTCGTCACAGCCCAGGGTGGCCACATCGGCTTCCTGGAAGGGCTGCTCCCCTGGCAGCACTGCTACATGAGCCGCCTCTTCCACCAGTACGCCAAAGCCGTCTTCCAGCACCCGGCAGAGCTGCTCGGCCTCGGCGCTCTCTCAACTTCCAAGGGAGGCAAGAGCTGACAACAGTGCCACTTAGGGTCTCAGTTCAGTTTTCCCTTTTTTATTAAATATCAGCTTTTCCTGTCAAATGGGCTGAGGTTCACTTTCCCTGTTCTCAAGGGTAGGGTGGACCACCTAGGAACTTACTGCATCTTTAGCCTGGCTGGCCTAGAGCTACTCAGCTCAACCCACAGATTACTGCCTGGGTCTTCCTTTTGCCCCTTCTTTCTCTCACGCCAAGTCCCAGGCCGGTGCTTGCCCCAGGAAGTGCAATGGGCTCATGGGAAGAGCAATTGGCCCCAGGTTGTGAGGGAGGAGGAGAAACAGATTGCTTCTGCAGGAAGGACAGCACTGACTCCAGATTCTGGGGTATCTTCACATATTTCTGGAGAAAGGATAAGCTCAGGAGCCCCCAGTGAGCAGAGGAGAGGAGGCAGGTGCTGTGGCCTGGGCTGCAGACACCACTGTCCTGGGTGGATCCAAAGATGATGAACACAGGCTTCCCAGAACTCAAGAGTCACGCAGGGCCACAGTCAAGCTTTAACTGGGCAGGGCAGACAGTTCCGTCAAGTCCCATCAGAGACCACCTCAGCTGTGGACCCAGGCAGAGGTGGAGTGAGCAATGGCATCCAGGCTTCCACTTTAGTCCAGAAGGTGGCTGGGTCTAGGCCGCTGACTCCCTGGGAGCAAGAGGCTAAAGGAAACCTGGAAAGGCACTCTGGAGCAGCAGGATGGTCGTAAAAATCAGCCCGACACATAGCAGCAGCAGTAGCCACACAGGAACACTCCCTGCAGGGGGTGAGGGAAGAAGAAGTCAGTGGGCAAAGGGCCTCACAGCCCAGCAAACAGAACCCTCGACCGACTCCATCCACGGAGAGGGCAGGTGGCTATAAACAAGCAGCCCATTGTTCCAGGAAGCAAATTTTTGCTACAGATAAAGGTTGGGTGGTACCTGCCCACCCCGATGACTCACGTCGTGAAGGCAGCAGATGCAGCTGGCAACGACTATCTACAGCCACAGAAAAGAGGGCAGTTTCATGGGACCCAAGGAGCTCTGGGCCACGACCTTTCTCAGGTAGAAAAGCCACATCCGTCACCACAATGCCATGGGATTCCTTCACATAGTAGAGGCGCTGGCGACAGGAGGAAAATGAGGGAGAGAAGCCCCAGCTGGGAACATTCCTTCTGGAAAGCATGCCCCCACACCCCAGAAAGCTTTCGCTCTACAGGCTGGGCCAGATTCCTTCCTGCCCCCAGGGCAGAAGAAGGCCTAGAGTTCCCACCCAAAGGGCCCTCTGGGCTGTGCCCACCTCTGCCCGTTACCTGGAGAGAGAAAGCTATGTAGATGGCCACAGATCCAGTGACCGTGCCCAGGCCTAGGAAGGTACCCGAATCACTGCAACAAACAATAAAATGCGCACTGTCCTTGAGGCCCGTAGAGCAACGCTCACTCGCTAGCCACAGCCCCCAGGCAGGGCTCTTCCTGCTGCTCCGCCAGCCACCCTCACACCCAGCCGAGCCAGCTCTGTCTCCAACCTGACACTAAGGCAGGAGATGACTTCATGGCCACAGGGTTTGGTCCGAAGAGGCAGGAAGGTAGAGCCGTCCCAGGCTGTGAGGTAGCAGGGTGGGGGCTGGCGCAAACGCTTGTGGGGGATCTGCACTGTGAAGAGTCGCAGCCCGGCAGGCTGGTCTGGAACCTGCCCAAACCTGGGAGCCGGCGAGAAGCCATTGAGCCTGTGGGGCCTGCCCAGCCCCGCTCAAGAGTTTGTACCCTCCTGTGTCCCGGTCAGGCCTGAGGTCACACCGCCAAGGCCACAACCCTCCCCAGCTCCCCCCAGTCTTTTCCTGCTCCCCCACCACATCTAGGTTGAGCCTCTTTTGGCCCCCCTCCAGGACCTTCCCACCTGCAGGCCTGGTAGCGGTAAGGCGTGTTAGAGAAGGTGGGTCCGTTCTCTTGCCAGTGCAGCTGTGTCACCAGCTGATCCTTCTGCCACACGAAGGCCTTGAGGTCCCAGCCCACAGTCACCAACTAGTCAGGAATCAAGATCCCAAAGGAAGGACAGTTAGAAGATCCAGTTACAGAAAATGAGCAGCATAACCCCCTACTTTCTCCACCCTCTCCCCTCCTCACCTTGCCATCAGGCCCCAAAGCCAGGTCCTCAATCTCCCCTCCGTGGGCTTTGAACTCCAGCACTTTCTCCAGGCTGGGCACCTACAGTCAAACCACCACCATGGTCAGCCTGGGTACCCAGCAAGAGTGCCACGACCTCCACCCTCTTCTCTCCCAAGGGCCACTCAGTGCAGATTTCCCTCACAAGTTCCCGGAACCCACGTTCAGTTTCTCACAATTCTGGTCATGCTGCTGCTAACACGCACCCTTCCCTAACCCCCCGAACCATACCTTCCAGACACGAACACAGCCATCCGTGCCCCCAGTGGCAAGCAGGGTATTCTCATGGTTGTAGCACACAACTTTCTGCAGTGGATCAGGGCTGAAGTCTGTCTGCACCGCCTGCAAATTCTCTACTCTCAGTTCTGCCCCCTCCTGGTGGGTTTCATCTCCAGATTTCTTCTCTGTTGGGGCTGCCCCCTTTCTCTGCCGAGGCCCCTGCTCCTTGGAGCCTGCAACACACAGAGCCCACCAGGTTCCAGGCTTCTATAGCTAATAATACTGGCCCCCTCTCTACAGGTCTGGTGAACACCCAGCTTCCCCCCTGCTACCATAACCCCACTTCCAGCCCCACTTTTTCAGAGGCCAAGATCAGAGTGATCTGACTCAATTAACACTCTTCCCAAAGCTAGAGAGCCAGCTTCTCACCTGTTTTCTCTGCCTTGCTTTTGCCCTTCTGCTGCTGGATCTGGAAGCGCAGGAGCTGACAGCTGGCATCCTGCCCTGCAGCAAGGATGTTACCAGCCAGGGCCAAGTTCATAGTAGCCCGTGTCTCTGTGTCATGGGAGTGTAGTAAGGAGGCACTCAGGCGCCCGTTAATCTGCTCTAGCTGCAGAAAGTGCTGTGGGAGAGGGAAGCGGGCTGAGCAAGATCCAGGGCTGTCCGGGGTTTACCCCAAGTGCAAACATGCATCCTAGGATCTGATACCCTACCCCTTTGTTTACCGCATTTCTTAGTTTACAAGTCTTTCTCTACCGCCCCCCCCCCCCCTTTTGTCTTGAACCTCACCAATCTGTACAGCAAGGCAGGGTTGGGAGCATTGCCTCCAGTTCACAGAGTTAATGGGCGACGCTTAGGAAAGTGAAGAAAAGCTAGCCTAAGGGCCAAATGCAGCACCGTCGCTGCTGTTGGAGGACCGGCGGCCTCTGTGGCTTCCCCGGAAAAGACCAGGATAAGACCCCCGGGGCTGCTCCTGCGGTGGAGCTAAAGCGCCTAAGCAGCACTGTTAGTTTTCACTCTACCTTAGGAGTCGCTCAATCGCCCTATGATTAAGTTCTCCGCTGAAATTCGCGTCGGGATGCCTGGCTTGCCAGGAATTTCCACTGGGCAGCGGTAGGGTCGGGAGCTGGAGTGCGGCCCGCCCCCGCGACCCTCCCGGAATCGCCCTCTGCCCAAGGTGTGACCCGGACAGAGTGGCACTGCGCTCTTACCACTCCATTCTTTATGCCCGTCTTGGCGGCGCCTCCTCCGCCCGCAGCGATGAGCAGCCCGGTGCTGGGGTCGACCTGAACCGCATACAGCGGGAACGGGGCCCGGTACAGCTCTGGCGCCCGGCGCCGACCCATTCCGCTCGCCGCGCACTTCACTGTCCGCACCGCAGCACCCAGGACATGTCGCTCCCGGCCTTCGACTCTTGCCCTGGCCGCTGTTGAACCCGACTCGGTCTCCGCCGGGAGGACTCCCGACCCCTCTCACACCCCCGACGTTGCCCACTCTCGAACCACACACACGGTAACTCCTATCTCCGCCCCGGGCGGTCAAACCCGGTCTCGCTGACGCTTTGTACGCAAGCGCGCCTAGTGCCCTCTCCTCGCGCAGGCGCAGAGCCGCCAATACGCGTCAGCACTAGTTGGTCAGCGGCAACCGAACACCTGCGCGAGGATTTTGTTCTCCGCCCCATTGTGACGTCAGGTTCCGCCATCTTTCTGCGGGGCGGGAGTCGGGAGCTCTCGCGTCGCTGGAACAGCCTTGGTGATTTTGGAGGAGGCGGGAAGTTAAAAAAGGTTGAGAGAGAATCCTTGCGTTAGGGCTGTGGCCTCCCCGGAAAAGGCCAGGATAAGACCCCCGGTGCTGTAAAGGTTTAATAAAGAAATCCTTGGATTAGGGCTGTCTACCTTCAAGACCGATTCAAGACCTCACACAAGCACAGCCTTGACGTTTTACCCTGGAGATGCAGTGGTTTGTCCCAAGCTCATACACTGGAAATGTGACCTGTGTCTCCTGCCTCTTAATGGAGGCAATGCGGACTTGAAAACAAACCTGGCTTTAAATCCCGAAATTGCCCTGGCCGGTGTGGGCCGCTGGTTCGATTCCCAGTCAGGGGTTTGCAGGCCAGGTCCCCAGTGGGGGAGCGCACCAGAGGCAATCACGCATTGACGTTTCTCTCCCTCTGCCCCTATCCCTCTGTCTAAAAATATTTAAAAATAAGTAAACCCTCCAGGGTTTTTGGGTGGGGGCTGCTTCCCTGTGACATCTTCAGAGGCAGGCAACCTGACCCCCAGCAGGACAGATCTTATCTAGGGTCCTGGTTTCCTGCAAGGGAATGCTAGGAGTGCCCTTTCCTGCAAGAGACACTTCTTGCTGTTCCCCTGGCCTCATCAGCATGCACCCTCGTTAACCTAAGGTGCACCCAGAAGGAGGGACCCAGTTGTTTCAGGTTTGGGGATGCCAGGGGATGCCATCTCCTGTCTCATCAAATTGAATTAAATGTGTGAAGGGCCAACCAGGGCTTTCTGTACAACCCAGGTGTTCAGGCCTTGTCGGCCTCCTGCCTTTTCAGACACATGGCATTCACTCTTCTTGGCCACTCTATGTCCTTTGACTCTCCCCCGCCCCTTGTCGGGTTCTGGCCCTGCTGTAGGTACCCAGTGAGTCTGCTCAGCAGGGCGCAGATGCGAATTTTGCAGTGTGAAGCTTTATTGGATACATGGAAGGCTGAGCGGGGCCTCGAGTGCCCTTGTTCCTCTTCAGCCAGGGGAGAGCAGACTCCACAAGGGACTTCCTGGGTTAAGCGCTCGAGAACACACCTGACCTCCAGCCAGCCAGCCCTTCAGGGTGTGCCGGGGACTTCCTGAGATCTGGGGCCTGGTGGGAACTGCTGTGTTTGGAGGAGGTGCTCCAGGGATCCTCCGTGGCTCTGGAACTGGGGTGGTGACTTTTGTAGAACAGGCTTTGGAGAGGCAGGCGTCTTTGGAACTGAGGAAAACTTGGGCTTCAGGGAGACAGTGTCCTGTTTTGGTGCCTGAGGTGGAGGTCCTGGACATTGAGTAGACTTTGGCCCTTGAAAGCCTGCAGACCTGAGGCTCCCGGTCTGGGAGGATTTGCCTGGGGCTGAATCTGCCTCGGCCTGAGCTGCTGAGGCTGGGGCTGGAACTGCTGGGGCCTGCGAAGCCTCGGTTTGATACCCACGGGCCTGAGGGGCCTTGCCTTGAAGTCCTACTTCCTCTGGTCTTCTTTCTGGCAAGAGATGCAGAGCCCTGGCCTGGCCACGGGGCAGGCGGAGGCCAAACCCGATGCCTATGCGGAGTGGTCTGGATTCCTGGCCCTGTGCACAGGGCAGTAGTTGGGGAAAGGCAAGCAGCCGGGGTCCAGTCCTGTTTTTGGGCATGGGGCAAGAGGGACCACGGGGCCGGAGACACACCAGGCATATGGGATACTCCACGACTGGAGCCGGGCCGGTTCTGCCTAGCCACAGGCGCTGCAAAAGCAGTAACCGAAGGTCGTGCGCAATACGGTGGTGCCCCAGGTGAACCACCAGGGCCTGGGCCAGGGCTCCTGGGTGCCTGAACTCTGCAGCGTCCCTCTCGCTTGCCACGCATCCCTCCACCACCCCAGGGGACCTGGTGTCGTGGTACTGATGCCAGTGCCATGCCTGTCTATTAGAATGGATCCCCGGAGAAGGCAGGCTGGGCCTCGGGGAAGTGAGAGTGGAGCTGGGTAGGTCTCCGGGGTTGGGACCAGACTGGCAGTGTGGGGGAGAGGAGTTCTGTGGCTGAGGGGGGCTGGAGGAGCGCGTAGGGGGAGGAGAAGGGTGTAGCTGGTGGGAGGGAGCGGAGGAATGTGAAAGGGAGACAGACGGGTAATTCTGATGAAAGAAAGCGGGGGATCTTGGGAAGGAGGACGCGTAGGGATGTAGTACAAAGTCCGAATTTGAGTCAGAAGAATAGAAATCGGAGCCAGGAGAGTGGGACTGTGGAGGAGGGGAGCAAGGTGGGAGGGAGGGAGAGAGTGATTTTTGAGGAGGCAGAGGCTGGAGGTTATGGGGAGGGCAGTCCACGAGTTGTGAGGGGCTCTGAGGGGGAACCCCAGAGGGTGCTGTGTTCTGTAGCAGCACTTGGTCCTTGTTTTGAGGCAACATGGCCTTGAATCCGGAAAGGACTGGGGCGTCAAGACCAGAGATTAGAGACCTGGCAGAATCAGGACCAGTGTCTCTGGTTGCAGCCTAGGAGACCCCCAGCCCAGTGGCACCAGGCTCTCTGGGTGTTCGGGCAGGAGCTTGGATCTAAACTTGGCTTCTCCCTCCTTTGCAGTCAGCCATGGATGAGGGATGTGGAGGGTTGGAGAACCACAGCTGCCTCTCGGGAGCTTCGGGGCAGCAGCAATGATCTGAATGGGCCAGGGAGGAAGACACAGCCCATAGGACCTGTAGAGAAAGAAACAGAGCCCCAGATATTGGGAGAATCGGTCCATTTCTGGCTCTGCCTCAGGTGCCATTTCCAGGCTGGTTCACTAGGGCCGTAAACCTGTGTCACCTTTGGGGTCGAAAGAGCTGGCAAAGTGCTCCAGGGAAGGTCGGAGCTGAAGAGGAGAGAAATAGGGGGGTGGGGTGTGGAGTGGAAGAAGGAGGTGTGGGGTATGGGGGCTGGGATGAGACTGGGAATCGAGGGTAGCTGCTATGGTAAGCTCTTACCCACGAGGGCCCCTCTGGGCTGTGTTTCACAAGGCACCTCGGCAATGAGGGGACCTGGGAGAAAGAGCATCGGTCACCAAAGAGTGGGTCCACCCCTCTCCGCCCCCAGCATCCTTTATCCTAAACTCACCGAGGCCCAGATTTCTGTCTGAGCCTTGTCTTCGGTTCTCCTTCGGCCAGATGGAGGTCTTCCGTTCCAGGCTTTTGTTCTCCTAAACCCGAATCGGGGATTCTGTAAGCATCCTGGTTTCCTGCCACTCTCGTCCCCGTGACCCCTTACTGCCACTAATGCTAATGTCCTCTGGCTCAGCCTGGCCCTGGCCGATATGGCTTATCACACCCAGCAGCAGCAGGGGCGGTGGGCCTAGCTGGTGAAAGCCTCTGAGAGACTGGGACTTTGTTTAAGGGGTGGCATTGCCACCCCTCTTGGGAGCTAAGAGCCCCGATTCCTGGGGGCAGTTCTCCATGACGTCCAGGGACTGTGTCACAAAGGTCAGGTGCTGACATCATAGACTCTCCACCTCAAGGCTCTGGGAGCTTCTTTCAGAGACCATCCAATTGCCAGCCCTTGACAAAACTGAAGCAAACGAAACTCTCCGGGCACTCAGTCCCCTCTCCCCCAGGTGGAAGTCCCCACCTCCGCTCTCCACCCAGATGCCACTCCCTCCACTCCAGGTGCCCCTGAGCCCCGCAGCCTATTTGGGCTGGACCCTCCCTTCAATTTCCCATTTTCCCTTGCTCCCCAAGCCCCCTTAGGATGTACTTACATACTTTAATAACTATTAACCGCTTTTTTGAGATATAATTCACATACCACACAATCCACCCATTTAAAGTGTGTGATTCACTGTTTCCTAGTGTACTCACAGGGCTGCAAAGCCATCAGCACAATCTAATTTTCGAACACTTTTGGATCCCCTCCCAAAAGAAATCCCATCCCCATGAGCAGCCACTCCTCATTCCTCTCCCCGAAGTCCCTGGAAACTATAAATCTACTTTGTGTTTCCACGAATTTGCATATTCTAGGCATTTCATGTCAGTGGAGTCACACAATGTGTGGCCTTTCGTGTCTGGCATCTTTCGACTCACAGGTTTTGAAGGTTCATTCATGTTGGAGCATGCATGTAGCAGGACTTTATTCCTTTGTATTGCCAAATAATATTCCTTTACATGCATATACCGTATTTTGTTTTCTCACTCATCCACTGGTGGACATTTTGCTGTCTTTACTTTTTTGGCGATTATGAACAAGGCTGCTTGGAACACTGGCATATGTTTTCATTTATCTTGAGTAGAAGATACCTAGGAGCGGAATTATTGAGTCACGTGGTGAGTGTATGTTTTACATTTTGAGGAACTGTCAAACTTTCTTCCAATTAGCTGTACTACTTTTCAATCTCACTAGCAAGGAGTAATGGTTCTGACTTTTCCTGTCCTCACTGACAAATGTTATTGTCTATCTTTTTTTTTTTTAAGATTTGACTTATTTATCTTTAGAGAGGGGAAGGGAGGGAGAAAGAGAGGGAAAGAAACATCCATGTGGGAGAGAAAGGTCCATTGGCTGCCTGTTGTATGCACCCAACCAGGGACGGAACCCATGACCCAGGATGGTGCCCTAACCAGGAATCCAACTGGCGACACTGTGCTTTGTGGAACAATGTCCAACCACCTGAGCCACACTGGTCAGGGCTATTGTCTTTCTGACTTTAGCAATCCTAGTGGATATAAAGTAGTATGATATTGTGGTTTTGATTTACATTTTCCTAATGACTAGTGATGTTGAGCATCTTTTCATGAGCTTATTCACTTGTTTTCTTATCTGGAGAAATGTCTATTCAAATCTTTAGCCCATCCTTTAATCAGATTTTTGTATTATTGTTGAATCGTCAGAGTTCTTATATATTCTGGACATAAGTCCCTTTTTAGACATATGATTTGCAAATATTTTCTTCTATTCTCTGGGTTATCTTTTTACTTTCTTGATAGTCTTCTTTGATGCACAAAAGTTTTTAAATTTGATGAAGTCTAATTATGTATTTTTTTCTTTTCTTGCTTGCTTTTGCTGTCTTATCTAAAAAATGATTGCCTGACCCAAGGTCACAAAGATTTGCTGTGAAATTTTCTTTTCAGAGTTTTTAGTTTTAGCTCTTACACTTAGGTCTGTGATTTATTTTGAGTTAATTTTTTTAAAAAATATATTTGTTTATTTTTAGAGAGGGGGAAGGGAGGGAGAAAGAGAGGGAGAGAAACATCAATGTATGGTTGCCCCTCCAGCGCTCCCTACTGGGGACCTGGCTGTCTCACAACCCAGGCATGTGCTCTGACTGGGGTTGAACTGGTGACCCTTTGGTTCGCCACAGGCTGGCACTCAGTCTACTGAGCCACACCAGCCAGAGCCACTTTGAGTTACTTTTTATATATGGTGTGAGGTAGACACTTGGCATCCAACTTGAAGCAGTGACATTGTAACACAGTAGTTTGTGTTTGCTAGTTGTTCCCATTGTAGACTTTATCTACCACACACTACCCACCCCGACTGCTCCACACCTGAGCAAGAACACCGTGTTTTGTTCTTTCAAATGCGATGCAGCGTGTCTTCTCCAGAAATCTGCAGATGTGGGTTGAGAGGATGAACAAATGGGCAAATGGACAGTTAACAAAGCACTTTTTCTCTCTCTTCTTCATTTGGGCTGTACATTATAATATGGTAGGAAGGGGCTGCCGGCAGAGCTACCGGAGTATTCTTGGAGAAATCACGATTATAAGATAGGAGTCAGACAACTGCAGATAGGTCAATATTCAAAAACAAGGAAAAAAGATACATTCTAGAATCTCAAACCAGCCAGTGTGTGGTTGCTTGCCAGGACAATTTGGAACTGGGTTACTGAACAAAACGGATGTCAGCTCAGGAGGGAAATACACGGATGACCTCAGTGGGTACCGGTGAGTTCGAGTAAAACAGCTTTTGGAGAACATGCAGACATCTGGAAGAGGCACATCATGGTCCCTGTTCCCCACGGGGGCCATGTTGCGAGACCCCCAGTGGATGCTTGAAGTGGAACCATACACACGAATGTGGAGAATCGGAACCCTAGTGCGCTGTTTGTGGGAATGTAAAATGGTGCAGACACTGTGGAGGACAGCATGGCAGTTCCTCGAAAAATTAAAAATAGAATTACTGTATGACTCAGCAATTTCACTTCTGGGTATACTCACTTCTGGGATATACAGAAGAATCAAAAGGACAGTCTCAAAGAGATATTTGTACATGCATGTTTGTAACAGCATTATTCAAAATAGCCAAAAGGTAGAAACAAACCCAATGTCCATGAGATGAATGGATGAGCCAAATGCGATGTAGACACACAATGGAGTATTATTCAGCCTTAAAAAGGAAGAAGATTCCGATACGTGCTGCAACATGTATGCACCTTGCAGACACGCTGAGTGAAATAAGCCAGTCACAAAAGGACAAATACTGTGTGATTCTGCTCATATGAGGTACTTAAGGGTAGTCAGATTCAGAGAGAGACAGAGAGTTCAGTGCTGGTGGCCCGGTGCTAGGGGTAGGGGAATGTGGAGTTATTATATTTAACGAGTATAGAGTTTCAGTTTTGCAAGATGATGAAATTGCTGTGGAGGGGTGGCAGCAATGTTTTCACAACGATGTGAAGGTACTTCATGCCAGTGGAGTTTCTGTACACTTTAAAATGGTTCAAATGGTACATTTTATGTTATGTGTTTTAGCACAATTTTTAAATAAATAACTTTTAAAAGATGCAAAAGATTAAACTCAAAGGCTAGTCTTTGAAAAGATTGATAAATTAAGCATAGTTCTGGCAACACTGATGGAGAACAAAAAGAGAGTCTGGTGCAAATGAAATACAGAACAAAAAAAGAGAGTCTATCTAGAGGCATAAGGGAGATGAGAAAATAGTAACAGTGGGTTCCCATCTGGGGCTGGCAGTGGTGGAGCTCACAGGGGGTTCTATCTCATCGGAGGCACTGGGAGAGGTGCGGGTGACTGCTCCAGAAGGGGAGGGGGAAGGCTTCTGTTCTTGTCCCCTATCGCTACCAGATGGAGTAGACAAATTTATAGAAAAATAGAAAACACCCAAGATTTATAGGAAGAAATAAGGAACTTGAATTAACCAATAAGAAACGAAAGAAATCGAGATAGAAGTTACAATTTCTTCTTCTATCCATCAGAGAAAAAACTCAGGGCCAGTGGTTTCCCAAGTATATTCCACCAAACTTTCAAGAAGGATTAGCTCCTGTCTTGTGTAAAAAGCTGTCTGAAGAAGTAGAAAGAGTGAGAGCTACCCAGCTTGTTGGATGAGGTTGGTGTAAGTTTGACTCCAAAACCAAATAGTGATAGTTATAGAAAGTTAGAATCTCATTTCACTTATGAAATAGTTGCAAAAATCCTAAATAACATATGAACTAAATGAATAGGACAGTGTGTTTTAAAAATGAATCATATGCAGATGGGATTTATCACAGGAACTTCAAGAAGACTGTTCATCAGAAAATCTAAGGGCATAATTTAGCATATTATTTGGCTGAGAGAAAAATCATGATTATTTCAATCAACGCAGGAGAACATTTGATACAGCTCTACACATATTTATGATTGAAAAAAAAACACACACCAAATACCTCTTAGCAAATGAGGAATAGAAGTATACTGCCTTAACTTGGTAAAGGTCATATGTAAAAAACCTGCAGCAGCCCTGGCTGGTGTGGCTCAGTGGATTGAGTGCTGGCCTGAAAACCAAAGGGTTGCTGGTTCGATTCCTAGTCAGGGCACATGCCAAGGTTTTGGGCCAGGTCCCCAGTAGGGGGCGCTTGAAAGGCAACCACACATTGATGCCTCTCTCCCTCTTGTCTTCCTCCCTTTCCCTCTCTAACAATAAATAAAATCTTAAAAAGAAAAACCTGCAGCAAATAGTATGCTTAATGGAGAAGATATAGATACATTAAGATTAGAAGAAAAGGGTGCCCACGATCACAATTTCTGGTTAACACAGTATTGGAAGCCCTTGTCAATGCTCTAAGGAAAGAAAAGGGAATTATAAAGATTGGAAAGGAAGAGATAAAATTGTCTTTATTATATCTACTTAGAAAAACCAACAGAACCAACAGAGTTGATTTAGAGACTCATGAAGTTCAACAAGGTTGTTGGTTTCAAGACAAGCTTTTAAAAATTTATTAGCATTTTTATAGCCATAATCAACTAGGTAACGTAAGAATAAAAGCATTTGCAAGAGCAACAAAAACGATGAGCTATTTAGTACAATAAAACTATAAACAATTTCACTGAAGCAGGAATACACAGATGTTTGTGGTGTAAACTATAAAACTAGTAAAAGCTATAGAAGATGATTGGAATAAAGCAAGAGACATTCCATGTTTTTAGAAAAATTGACTTAAAAGTATGAAGATGGTGAATTTCCCAAATTAATCCATTGATTCAGTGAAATCCCAGTCAAAATGTTAGTTGAATTTTCAGGGACTCAATAAACTTTCTCTAAAATGTATTTGGAAAAATAAAGGTCCAGAAATAACAAAGCCAACCTTGAAAAATAAGAGGAAAGAGGGGAGCTTTATTCTACCAAATATTAAAACATGCTACAAAGTCATCATAATAAAATCAGCATGATGTTGGCTCAAATACAGACAAAAAGATCAGTGGAACAAAATAAAGAGCTCAGTTTCTGAGCTCTTTACAAACTTTGTTTACAAACATATACGAAAACTTAATCTACGGTAAGGTGGGAGCTGAGGCCTAGCAGGGAGAGAGTGGGCCGGTTAGGGGATGATGTCGGGAAAACAGTCTCCCTACATGGCGATGATAAAACTGGCTCCCTATATGGAGAAAAGTGAAACTGAATCTCCACCAAGCACCACACACCAAGGGTGCTTGAACTCATCAGTAATCAGATAAGGGCAAATTACAATAACTGTAAAACCAGGACTCTGGTTAACGCCAGGCGTTGGTGGTGAGGCTGTGGGGCCCCGCGCGGTGCTGTCGGGCAGGCAGGCCTGCAGCCCTTCTGGAAGGCCCCCCAGCTGGACTCAGTCAGTTAGTCCGGCATTCTGCTCCCGGACATACATATTTTTAAACCTTACCTGGATTCAGTGGTATTCGTGACAGCACTGTTCGGGGCGATGAGGAGCTGGAGGCAATCTGGGGGTTCATCCCTGGGGGTGTGGGTGCTCAAAATGTGATGGGTGCACACCGTGGCGTCCTCTGCGGCAGGTGGAAGCAAGGGACTTAAAACAGAGGCTTGAATGGAAGAAGTAACAACGAAGTATATAGTACAATACTGAATGCATAAGTAGTATTGTGTTATATATTATAATATAAATGTATGATCGTTTACTGAATTTAAAATTCATTCATACAACAATGCACATGGTTTAATAAAACCTACCACATACTGCTTACCGAATAACCACCAAAGTTAAACAGCAATAAACATGTCTTATCTCAAGCCCTGGCAGGGTAGCGTAGCTCAGTTGGTTGGAACATTGTTCCAATACACCAAGGTCGCAGGTTCCATCCCCAGTCAGGGCACGTGCAAGAATTAACCACTGAATGCATGAATGAGTAAAACAACAAATCAATCACTTCCTCTCTCTCATCAATAACTTTTTTTAAGATTTTATTTATTTTATTTTTAGAGAGGGAAGGGAGGGAGAAAGAGAGAGAGAGAAACATCAATGTGCGGTTGCTGGGGGCCATGGTCTGCAACCCAGGCATGTGCCCTGACTGGGAATCGAACCTGTAACACTTTGGTTCGCAGCCCGCGCTCAATCCACTGAGCTACGCCAGCCAGGGCATCAATAACTTTTAAAAAAGCAAAAATAAGCCCTGGCTGGCGTAGCTCAGTGGATTGAGCGCGGGCTGCGAACCAAAATATCGCAGGTTTGATTCCCAGTCAGGGCACATGCCTGGATTGCAGGCCACACCCCCAGCAACCGCACATTAATGTTTCTTTCTCTCTCTTTCCCTCTCTCTCTCTCTCTCTCTCTCTTTCTCCCTCCCTTCCCTCTCTAAAAATAAAAAAATAAAATATATTAAAAAAAGCAAAAATAAAAAAAACCCAAAACGTTTATCTCACATGACTTCTGTGGGTCAGGAATTCTATGGGTTAAAGCAGCTTAGGTGGGCGACGCTGGCTCAGGGGCTGTCCTGGGTCGCACTCAAACTTCCAGCCAGGGCTGCAGTCATGAGAAGGCCGGACTGGGGCCGGGGATCTGTTTTCAAGGAGATGCACTCACCCTGTGTGAGTTGGTGAGAGGCCTCGGTTCCTCACCACGCGCGCCCCTCCTCAGGGCTCTCTCGTGACCCAGCAGCTGGCTCCTCCCAGAGTAAGTGACAGGAGGAACCTGAGTGATTCGGCAGTGAGCAAGGGGCTATGCTGCCTTTCCTAATCTAGTTTGAGAACCGAGTCCACTTTGACCGTGTTCTATTTGTTAGAAGCAAATCACTAAGCCTAGCTCATACAGGAAGGGAGTCAGGCTTCGCCTTTTGAAGAGGGGGATATCAAAGAAGTTGTGTACCTATTTTCAAGCCGCCACACATGCAAACAAAATATACATCCAACGGTTTGAGATGGCTGCCTTTGATAGGGAAGAATGACGAGAACGGGGTCGAGGAAACAGAAGGAAGGGAGGTGGGGGGAGACTGACCATCGGCCTGTGTGTGCCGAACACTCTGAGTGCCGCGCGTTGAGGAGTGTGTGTACTTCCCTGCATCTGGAGGGAAGCTTGGTGTGCATCTTTTTGGTATGTTCACATACGTGCATACACTTACAGCTTTGGTTTTCTGTGGGCTTTTGAGTGTGTATGTCCCGTATGTGTTTCATCCTGGCTGGGTCTTCTTATACACACTGACTGATTCACAACCAGGTTTTTTCACTTAACGGTGCCTCTCGGGGAGGTTTTCCATGTCATTATGTAGAGATCTGTCTTGTTCTGTCCATTACCTCACATCTCTTCCTTCCTGGGGGAAGTTCGGGTCAATTTTGTGTGTCTTCTTTGTCCCTTTCCCTCCGGTTGGCTGGGTGTCTGCCTCACTGTATCTGTAGCCACCTGTGTCCCCTCTGTACTTTCCCTGTACTTGTTTTGTCTCCCCTGGAGTTCCAGATTGAGGGACAAGGGTCGTGCAAGACAATCCTGCTGCCGGCAGAGGTGGTAACTTGAAGACAGGCAGGGGCTGCCGTGGCAGATTCGCTGTTTCTTCAGCCTGCCTCCTGCTGACGAGCCACGTGGCAGATACCATGCCCTCAGCAAACATCCTGGTCCTTGCCCTCAAACACCTCACGTCTAGCATGGGGACAGACAGGTGAGTAAGTCATCCAAGGTAGAACCGTATAGGGCGAGGGCAGCCTTCCAAGTCCACTAGCTGCCTGGGTTTCATACCACCTGCATCACTTACTGGATGTTTGGCATTGGGCAAGTTATTTTGCTTCCCGATACCTCAGTTTCTGCATCTGTACAATGAGGATGTCAGCCTCTTTTCTTAAAAGGTTGATCTGAGAAATAAAGGCAATACAAGTAAAGTGCTTAGCACACTGCTGGCTGGTGTGGACTGATCTGAGAACTTTGAACTGTGAGGAAACAGGCCGGGGCATGGTCCTGCAGGAGCAGGCGCACCAATCAGACGGGAAGACACAGGCTCTGGGCTCTGCGGCTTCAACAAGTGAAGGCTGTGACCTGCAGGAGGGACAGCCCTTCCCCCTGGCAGAGCTGGAGGAAGGTATTCTGCAGGGACAGACAGGTAGAAGGAAAGGCACTGGGTTGAAAATCCGAGGTATGCCTGGAGCCTAGGGCGTAGTGCCCCATGGCTGGAAGGTCACGTTCACTGGCAAGGGGAGGAAAAGTCCTTTTGGCATGTGCGCAGGCAGGCTTCTGGCACAGAGAAGGAGGTCCAGGGCCCTTCCATGAACTTGAACCCCAAAGCTGAAGTTGCAGGTCTATCGTAGGACTGCTGTCAGGGTCAGGCGAGCCTCCAGGAAGAAGCTCCCTTCCCACCATCCTCCTGCCTTCTCCAGCAGGGGCCTCCCCCCAGGGCTTGGCCACTCCCAGCATCCAGCACCCCCACCCTCCGCTGGTTGGGAGGCAGGCAGGAGTTTTTTCTCGGGGGCTGTGCCGGGTGGGCGGTTTTCCCGGAGCAGGACTGAGTTGGCGCCAGCTCCCTCAGATGTAGACACTGCTGGTGGGATGACCAGCCTGCCCCAGCTCGCTTGAGCCCAAGGCTCCCTCAGGCACCGTGTTCCCGCCCTGGGGGCTGTGGCACCACATCCCTAAGGTGTGGCATGTCACAGAGGAAGGCCAGAGGGTCGCCCACGATGCCCGGAGTGGGGCAGAGCCCGGCGAAGGCCAGGCCAAGGTTGCTAGCAGGCACCGACAGGAGGAGGAGCCGCCAGAGCAGGACGAGGCAGGACCTGTGGGAAGAGACCAGCTGGAGCAGCCAAAGGTGGAGCAGAGCAGCCCCTGCCCCAAGAGGGGCCAGGACCAGAAGCCTGTCTCGTGGCAAGGTAAGGAAATACTGGCCCTGCAGGGGGCGCTGGGGAGGCAGGGGTTGGAGAGAGGTCACCTCCGAAGGCAGCGCGTCATTCAGTGTTAGCATCCGCACTCTAAAGAGGGGACGCTGGCCCTTGGACTCTAAGGCCCCATGCTTCGGTGGTTGGCACGAGCGGGCCTGAACCAGAGTGTGGCTGAGAGACCTGGCCCGGCTCACTTCTCACGGGAGCACTGAGGCCGGGAGGAGGGGTGTGAATCTCCCAAGATCCCAAGCCACAGTCAGCCGCAGGGCCAGGAGCTCAGCCTGTGATTCGACCTGAGTTTGGTGTCTTTTCCTCTTCGGCACAGCTGCCTCTTCCTCACGGGACCTGGCTGGGCCAAGGGTCGTTCCGACGGAGCAGGCCAGGGCGCTGTGCTCCCGGCACCCCAGGGCACCCCGATAAGCAGGCTGCAGACTTGGGTGTGGACAGAAGGAGGGCCAGGATGAGGTGCAGTGGAGAATTAGAAGGAGAGCAGGTTCTGAGCCGAGCTAGGCCATCCTGTTCCCTCTGACCCCAGGCAAGGCCTGCACTCAGCTGTGAGGCAGAGCAGGGCCCAGAACAGACACAACGGGGTGATGCTCTCGGTCCCCGCTGTTCAGGGTGCTACCGCGCTGGCAGAAGACCTTGCACCAGCCTGCCCTTAGAAGCCAGAGACGGATGGGGGTCCAGTCAGACTCACTCACTGGGGGTCCTCTGTGCAGAGCGAGGCCAGTCCCGAGAACGCAGCACGGGAGCGGAGCCGGGTCCGGACGCTGCGCCAGGCCTTCCTGACCCTGCAGGCCGCTCTGCCTGCCGTGCCCCCTGACACCAAGCTCTCCAAGTTGGATGTGCTGGTGCTGGCCACCAGCTACATAGCCCACCTCACCCGCACACTCGGCCAGGAGCTGCCCGGCCCCGCCTGGCCACCCTTCCTGCATGGACTCTGCTACCTGCACCCTCTCAAGGTAGGTCACGGGCCCAGCCGGGGCCTCAGCGAAGGGGGTTTGGGTGGGAGGGACACTGGACTCGGGGTCCTTCTGCCTGCAGTGGGGAGTGGTGACTGGAAATGACTTCATGAGAATGAGGCTCCTCCAAGAGCAGGGCCAGCCATGGAGGCCCCAGCTATGCGGGCCAATGACGGGGAGAGAAAGGAGCGGGTTCCAGGACTGGAGCCTGGGAAAGGAAGCTGCACCCGGGAGAGCCTGGAGTTGGGGGGGAGGGCACCATCCCACTGTGCAAGGCCTTGGTGTCTCCTGGACTTCTGTCGCAGGAGAGAGCCCCCTCTGGGAGAACAATAGTCTAAGAAGCATCAATCTAGAAGCCACCAGGCTCCGGGCAGGGTGGGCGGGGCGGGGGGCAGCACCACTCACCCGGCTGCGGCCCAACTCCCCTGCACCTCTGTTCTGTCGGGTGTGAAGGAAGGGCGCCATCGGCCTGACTCCTCTTCCAGGGCGTGAAATGAGAGTGTGAATGAAGGGTACAGCTAGCAATAAATCACCATCTCAGTGACAGCTAACGTTATTTGGATGCTAAAGTTATGCCAGGAGCTGGGCTAAGTGCTTTAGCGCATTTTTACCTTTGAACCCACACACGAACCGAAGGACGATTGCTTTCCAGATGGGGAAGCCCAAGCTCAGGGAGATGAAGCGGCTGAATGCAGGTTGGACCCAAGGGTGTCTGACTTCAGAGCCCCCACTTCCCCACTGCCCCTGCTCACGGCTCCCGCGCAGGCCCAGTGAGATGGTGACCAAAGTAAGGCCGTCGCCCAGAGGAAGCGATGGATAACACGCTCAGGAGTGCACAGATGGGAGCTGGTCAGTGCAGCTGGGTAGGCAGGGGCAGTGTCCCCTCACCCCCAGGTGGAGGGGCTGCCAAGAGGAGGGCAGACCTCAGGGTATCTTCTGGGGCTGCCCAAGCCCCTGCTGGAAGGACGGACAGTCTTGGGAGGTCCCCAGCTTAGAGGGCGTGGGCAGCACTGACATCTGGGGCCAGAGGCACTTGGGTGCGGGGCTGCTGTGCAAGAGAAGGGGTCAGGACAGTTCGGCATCGGGGGTCTTTCCTGGCCCTCCCCACACCCCAGCCCCAGCCTGGCTGCAGCCGGGTCTGCCGGCATCTTCCTCCTCACTGCCGGGGCTCCTCTTGGGCACCTTGCTCCTCAGCCGGCTCCTCAAGTGCGTCCCTGCCAGGCTCAGGTGGGCAGGAGAGTGTGTGGTGAGCCAGAGTCCTCTGCCGTCAGAGCGGTCGCAGCAGGCGAGGGTCTCAGGGAGGGAGGCTAGGAAAGGTGAATCTTTGGGTGCTGAGAACCACCAGGGGCTGTAGTAGACTGCTCTGTCTCACCTTCTGTCTCCGTGTCTTGCAGAAGTGGCCCATGCGGTCCCGTCTCTATGCCGGAGGCCTGGAGTGCTCTGGCCTTGACTCCACCACAGCCGCCACCTTGGGCCAAAGAGCAAAGGAGGCTGAGGCCAGGCCCCGAGCCTCTGGAGAGGCAGATGCTCTCTTCCCGACCAGGCCACTCTCTCCAGCTTGTGGGGACAAATGATCCTCATGCTCACCCTTCTTCCTAGAATGCAACTCAAGCTTAGGGGCCTGGCTTCTGCACCAGGCCCTGCCTGTCTGCACTCTGACTCTTAGCCATTGGATCTGACTCAGCTCCCAGGTTCTGGCCTGCAGATCAGGCGAAGCCGTGGGCGCGTCTGTGATGGAGAGAACTCAGGAGCACCAGGGAGTGGGTCTCCATCCTTGGCACCCAGGGGGTGACTCCACGGTGGCTCTTCCACGGCAGCTGCAAGGGAAATGGGAGAGGAAGTGGTCTGATGGGGTTGGAAGCCGATTTAGGGCAACACCCCTTGCTTCCCCTCCCCCTAAAGTTCCCGCAAACCCTCTGGAGATCGCAAGCAGACAGGCCTTCCTGCACAGGGGCAGAGGTAGCAGCCTGGGGTGGCGGCAGCCGCAGGGGCTGACGGGACAGTTGCAGGCCAGACTGGCTCTTGGCAGCTGTCGAGTGTGAACCGAGCTGGGCTGGGCTGGGGTCACATCACCAGAGGGGAAGCTGAAGAAGGGAACGTGGTCGGTTTTTTTGCCACGACGTGCTTGCCGGATGTCAAAGAAGCAGGAAGGAATTTAGGAGGCTTGTCTCTGCATTATGGCGGCCTCTCCAGATGCCCCTCATCACGACATTTTCTCCCTCGCTGGGCCCTGCACCCTTGCCCGCTTCTCTTGATATGAGTTATATTTACAGGTTCAGCCACAAAGCTCGCATTGCGCACATTCCAGCTCCCAGAAACGCTTGTATCCCCTGCTGCCCAGTCTGAGACGATCTCGGCCCAGAGGCAGCTCCACCCTGACTGAGCTAGTTGGCACCCTGAGGCCTTTCTCAAGAAGAATGCAGACGGAGTCAGTTACATCCTTGAAGGACCTTGGAAGAAGGTGTATCTCTTCCAGGGAATAATAATTGTAGTCTTCTTTTTCCATTATGTTAGAAACCTAACCTCCAGGGAAAACAAGGCCCGGGTTCAGTGGGCTCCTTGAGTGATTTTGGACGAAGGCCTCACTGGCTCTGGAGTTATTTTTACAATCTGTCTACAAATGACCTTTCCAGGGCCAGCTCCGCCCCTTCCCCACATACTGCCCTCCCAGGCACTCCCTAAGTCGGGCCCTAGGGTGCCAGGAATCCGATAGTTCCGGTGCAGTTTACCTCTGGTCCTAAGGAAATGATCTAAGGACTAATCACTGAGTCTATGCTTACTGGAAATGATCTTCCAGATGCCTGAAGTCCAGACAGAGCAGGAGCCATGTTTTGGGGGAACTTCAGGGCCTCGGAGTGGGAGGGGGTGGGCCAAGACAAATAGAGTCCCAGCAGGGTTAGCCTTAGACAGAGCCAGCAGCCCCACCAGGAGAATGAACGAGGTTTGGGGCAGGCTGGGAGCGGCTGGGGTCGCTGGTGTGACGAGTTGCTGTCCTTCCACAGGGCCAGCCAGGGCAGCAGGGGAAAGGGGGCTGATGGGGTGACTCAGCACGTCGGGGTGGAGGCAGGAAAGGAGACACAGAACGTTCTAGCCACGGCTGCACTGGATGTGGGAGAGCAGCTGGACTGTGGCCGGGAGCCATGGGAGAAGGCCGCAGCCAAGGCCGAGCTCGTAAATCTACTGAGGGGCCCGGAGAGCTTGTGCAGAGCTGTTTCTGGGCAGCTGGACGGGGCCGGCCAGGGCAGAGACCAGGTGTGGGTGGGCACGAGACCATTTCTTCACAAGACCATAAAAGTCCAGCTCGAGAGTTCTATTTTTAAAGCCAAAGAGCAGTATCTTCCTGGTTGAGTGTGAGGGTGACTGGAAGAGGGGCAGATGAATTTCTTCCCAAGCCGGTGGCATGCAGTGTTTTTCTGGGGATGAAACTGGGAAAGCTGGCTTTGGGTGTGTGCGTGTGGGGGCTCCCCCCTAGAGCATGAGACTTCTGACAACCGAGGGGACTCTGGTTGGGAGCATACCCCGACCTGCCCAGCTCAGACCCAAGCCTGCGTCCTTCGGGGGGTGACCGTGTCACCCTGGAAGAGAGGACAAGGAGAGCAAAGGAAAGGTGAAGCTAGTGAGGGGCTGAGGGGCTGGCTGGGGGCCACCATCATTACACTTTCTAAGGCTGCCTCAGGCTTTTTCCAGGCAAAGCCGTGTCCCTTAGTGCCCGGACAGTCCCGGCGGTCCAGAGGCCATCTTCCCCAGCCAGACAGCACCCAGCGCAGGGAGCACAAGGGCCGAGAGGGGCACGGGTCGAGTCCAGGGAAGGACGGGGGTGAACGAGCATGACCAGAGGAAGTGTCAGCTCGGAGACTCGGATCCACAAACACACCGGAGCCGGGAGTAACCACTTTTGCCTCTGCAGCAAAGGAAGAACACCTGCCCCGTGGGAGACTCTTTATTCCGACCAGTGCTGGGGGCGTGGCGTGGACAAGGGCAGGTGGAGGCAGCTGACACTCAGGTGCAAAGACAGCGCCTACTCCCTGGGAACACTGGTGTGTGGGAAGGAGGTTCCAAAAGGAAGCAGGAGCACAGATGACAAAATGACACCAAGGCGGCCTGGCTCAGGACTCAGAGGGACGGCTGGTCTGCTTGGTGGTCTTGTGCCGCCTGGCCAGCCCCGGTGCCCCTGACTCGAGGAGGGTTGGGGACAGCAGGGAGAGGACGGCTTCCCGGAGCGGGGCCGGGGCCGGGTGTGCACCACTTTCGGATGCGCCACAGGAGCGAGGGCAGAGGCTCAGCTGGGCTGTGGGAGCAGCAGAGCTGGCCAAGCGTTATCTAAGTGCTGAGGTGGAGGCTGCAGAGCTTACCAAATTGGCAACTACAGTAATTAGATATAGTAAACCCAGCCTTCTCTGAAAAATTCCTTGTCTCATCTCCAGGATGAGTCAGATGGCACTCTCCTCTCCCTTCTGTGTCACATGCCCGAAACCCAGGGACCCTGCGAGCTGAGATTCGAGATCAGGGGTTGGCAAACTATGGCCAGTGGGCCAAATCCAGTCCCCCTCGACCTGTTCCTGTAAATCAGTTTTCATTAGGACACAGTCAGCCCCATGTGTGTACGTATCACCTGTGGCTGCTTCCTGATGCCACGGCAGAGTGGGACAGCTGCGACAGAATGACTGTGAAGCCTTCAGTAGTCACAGGAGACGCTTGCTCACCCCCGCTCCAGATCAGAGATGCTCAGAGTGAGGCCGGGAACCTCGAGAGGGCAGGGCGGAGTCCCTGAGACCCTTTCCATGTTCTCAGTGGCTGAAACTATTTTCATAAGATGCCGTTTGCCTTTTTCCACACCTATCCTCTCACAAGTGTAATGGAATTTTCCAGAAACCATATGACATGCGCTGTTGCAACAGCAGATGGGACGCAGAGTCTGACAGAAGGGTCCAGCTGTCTGTTACAGTAGACATGACAGATGTTTGCAAAAATGTAAAGCAACGCCACTCTTCTCACTAAATATTTTCCAACGTGGAAAGCAATTATTTTTCAGAAAACTGTTATATATGTTCACACAGAGTGAGTTAATGCTATTTAAAAATAAATAGTCTTTAAAAATCATTTTCATTTCTGATATGGTGACTGTCACTAGAAATAACTCACAAAAGCAAAAGCTCTTCCAGGCGATGGTCAAGGACAGATCCCCCCTCGCCCCACGGCCCTGTGTGTGACAGCTTTGCCCTCCGCCTCGGGCAGGCACAGTGAATCGGTCTTGGTCTTTGAGGACAAAGAGCTTGGGGTCAGCGGAGTGCCTGGCAGAGTGTGGCCGGAGGCCTGGGGCTTGAGTGAGGTCTCCTGGAGGGTGAAGGTGGGGCTGCTGCCCTGGCAGACTGGGCCCTCCTCAGGCACGGCCACGGCCTCCTTGTCGCCGCAGCCCTTCAGCGTCCCATTGCTCATCTTCTCCAGGGACCCCGAGGTGTCCACAGAGGGGCCCTGGGCGCATGCAGAGCAAAGGGAGCAGACTGAGGAGCAGGACACAGGGCCAGGGAAGCAGGGCACGCAGAAAAGGGGGAAGAGCCCGCTTGGACCCCAGCCAGAAGGGGGGGTGGCACGAGGAGGGGAGCAGAGGAGGGGCCAGCACACTGTGAGCCTCTCTGCACTCAGACCCTTCTGCCCGCCCAGCAGCACTGCCCCGTGGGCAGGAGCCAGGGCAGCTGCTGCAGGATGGTCCAGGCTCAGACACACCATCAGGGACAGGGGTGCTGGGTGCGGGGAGAAAGCAGAGGGAGGGAAGGGCGCCAGGAAGGCCCTGTGGTAGTCTGGAGAGGGGAGGAGGGGGGCGATGTGACAATGTGGGTGCTACCTGGCTGTAGCTTTTGTAGTGAAGTCGCCTCCCACAGGACACAGGCAGGAGAGCACGGAGTCTCGGCAGCACTGGGTAGATGGTCCGAGGGTCCAGGGTCCGGCCCCGCATTCCCCCTGAGGGTCAAGGTGCCTGAGTCTTACTGAGTAACCAGTGTACCAAACAACTACCTCTGTGCAGGGTGGGGGGAGGGGGGACGTGTAGATGGGCACTTCCCCTCTCTGGGGGTCTTGCCTCCCGAGCCTCAAATTTGGAGAAAATCCCCCCCTACCCAGTTCAGCCAGGGGTCAGCGGCTGAACAGCGAAAGGAAGGACAAGAGGGCAGGAGAGGCGGGGCTCTGTGCACTGACAGGACCTGTCTGAGGGAGGGGAGAGCCGACCAGCAGGCGTGGGTGAGACAGGGGTGGGGACAGAAGCAGGAACTGAGGACCGTGCCACTGCACGAGCTGAGACGGTACGAAGGGGCAAAGGTGACTGAGGGTTTTATTTTTAACCTAATGATAAATTATAAAAAATCATGATCTAGTCATCAGAATAGAAACAACCCTCCCGGACAGAGAAAAATGGTTGAGTAAATCAGGCTGGCCTAAATACCAAGTTACCCTGAGGCCTTGCAGGGCAGGCAGGCGGGGCGGTCAGCGCCCCTGGGTGGGGCCCAAACTGGATGGAAATAGATTCTGTGCGGCCCACCCCAGAAACCACGGCGAACGGCGCCGGGGCGGGCGGAGGCCCTGGGCGCTGGCGTTCTGGCGAAAGTGCAGTCACTCTCCCAAGGGGCAGACTCTGCACAGGGCTTGGGGAGGGAACCAGGCGTAGCTGAAACAACATCTACGACAGCTGAATATAAAACTGTCAGGACCTGAGATGCTCTGGAAAGTGCCACTAACTAGAACTTGAAACAAAGCTCAGTTGTAACTGTGCGGGCACGTGCAGAGCCTGCCGGGCAGACTGCATGTCATCGCAGAAGCCACTGGCCGGGGCACTGGGAGGGCTGCCAGGCGTGGGGCATGTCCGCGAGCGAAGTTCCTCTCCTTTCTCCAGCCGAGGCCGGCGGAGCGTGCCCCGCAAACACGGTTGTGGTACTCCACCAACTGGCCAGGGAGGGAGGCTCCCTTGCGACCAGCCTCACCAAGTGCCTATTGGCAACAACCTGCCGCCGCCACTGTTTCCCTGGACATAAGGGCAGACCAGGACGCACCTGTTTTACTTTGGGAGGTTGCCATAGAAATACCTACCCAGACAGGTGGGCTCCTCATACATGGCTATAAATTAAATAGCTGCTCGTGCCTTGGAGAGGTGGAACTCTCCGTGGGGGAAAATGGCGTTACTAAGAACTTACGAACTTCTGGGGTCTATTTGGATAGCTACAGGACCACAGGTTAACAGATTTTTCATGGGGTTCCTGTTAGGTATGAGCTACGGTGGGGCGGGGCAGTGAGGGAGAAGACTGAATAGCTCTTTGTGAGAGGCAGTGCCGCTTTGTAGAAGAGATCTTGATATTGCAAACCCTCCCACAAAACCAGCCGTTAGAAACCCCTGCGGCGACGTGATGGGGTGTGTTACTAATGCCTTGCTCGTTTAAGATCTGGAACAGAAAAGGGCTGGCCTCGTGCTCATGAAAAGAAGCAAGAGCCCTCAGCAGCCTCTGAGAAACAGTAAAAATCCTAAGTCGATCATTACATGTTGGTCCTCCTTCAGCCCTTTTAAGAGGATGAAAATGTTCTTTCCAGCTTAGAAAAGACACAGAGATTGGCAGCTTTATTGCCAAGGATTTTTTTTTTTCTTTAACGCATTGCAAGGATGACCTTTGCACAGGTCAGAACTGGAATTGTTCAAAAGCTGCCCATCAAGACTCCATTGACAAAGTCTCTGTGTCGAAATACTCCCTCCAGCTTTGGCAAACTCTCCTCCACTTGAATGTGCACCCCCAATCAGGGAGACCATCTAATTGGAAACAACACCTGGCTCTTTCTGAATCGCAAGATCTTGAAAGAAGATGGCTTTGATCTTGATAGAAGGGTGTCAAAGATCAGCTCTCCTGCAGCCTTTATTTCTCCCCAACTTAGTGTGGTCCTGGATAATCGTCTCGTTATTTTGTGCAATAATTACTGTTCTAATAGAGCCTTCATCCAATGTGTGCTCAGTTATGGCAACTACACGAGTTGGAGAAGGAATTTCTCCAGAGACATTGTAAACAAACATGAAGAGATAGAGCAGGAAAGAGACAACGTGGGTTTGTAACACGTACTGGCCCTACTGCTGACGAAATTACTTGCTGTATAGGACTCCTGCACGAGGGACGTGTTTTCTATGAGAAACTGTTGGACTTCATTTCTGAAAATATGGTGGACTGGATGCATGGAGAAACATTCAAAATAATGGGTAAAATATTACAAACATATTATTAAGTGCATTGTTGGGCTGGCAGAAAGATAAGGGAAGGGAATAACAGAAGGGATTTTAAACAAGAGCACAAATCCAAAAACAGTAAGCCAGCACCGAGGCCAGTGTTGCCGGGGCAGCACCTGCAGACTCCGGGTGCCCAAGGCCAGATCAGATTTTAACACACCAAATTTGGGGACCAGAGAAAAAGCCCAAGGCCCATACAAAACAGTATATTGGGTCAGAGACCCTGTCATCAAGCTGGGATCCCCAAAAGGCAACACCCTCAGCGTGTAAAAGAGAGACAAGGATTCTTACTCATATAGGTCTTGGCTCAGGGTGGGAGTGGGGGGAGTCTCTCAGGGATTTCTAAACCCTTAAACTTTGGCGGAGGGAACAAAGGCAACAATTTCAAGGGCCCTTGATTTTCTAGGCACAAGCAAGTAACATTCTTCTCTGGAAGAACGTGCTTTAAAACCAGGATTTGAAAGATTCCCACGGATAACATTCTAACAAACTTCAAAATTCATAGCAAGCAGTTCTAGAAGTCAAAGGAAATGTGCCGCCATAAGCCAGCTGCAGCAGAGACACTGAGCTGTAAACTCACACTTGCAGTGACTGCAGATGGTTTCATTTTCAGGTGCAACATAGATATTAAATATGTTTAAAGAAGTAAAGAGTAATTTGAAAAGACAAAGCAGGAACAAGAGCTATCACAGGTAGAATTAGGGAAAAATTTAAGTCGTAGAAATTAAAAATAAATATATTTTTTCATCAGGAACCCAGTGGACAATTAGAAACTGTTAAAAACAAATTAGAGAGTCAGAAAATAGGTCTGGAGAAATTATTCAGAATTCAGTGCATATGAACAAAGAGACAGAAAGTAGAAAAAGAAGAATGTAAGAGAATATCTTCATGACTCTGGAATAAGAAAATAATTCTTTTTAAAAAAATATTTCAGCCCTGGCTGGCATAGCTCAGTGGATTGAGTGCGGGCTGCGAACCAAAGTGTCGCAGGTTTGATTCCCAGCCAGGGCACATGCCTGGGTTACAGGCCATAACCCCCAGCAACCGCACATTGATGTTTCTCTCTCTCTCTCTCTTGATCTCCCTCCCTTCCTTCTCTAAGAATAAAATAAATAAATTTTTTAAAAAAATATTTTACTTATTTATTTTTAGAGAGGAGAAGGGAGGGAGAAAGAGAGGGAGAGAAACATGAGTATGTGGTTGCTTCTCACATGCCCCTTATTGGGGACCTGGCCCGTAACCCACGCATGTGTCCTGATTGGGAATCAAACCAGCGACCCGCTGGTTTGCAAGCCAGCACTCAGTCCACTGAGCCACACCAGCTAGGGCAGGAAAGTAGTTCTTTTTTTGTTGTTGTTGTTCTTTTTTTTTTCTTTTAGGAAAGTAGTTCTTAAAGAAGACACAAATAGCATTAACCCTAAAGGAAAAGACCAATAAATTGTACTACATCACACTAGAGCACCTGTTCATCACGAGACACCGCTGAGGGAGTGAAAAGGGCAAGCTCACAGGCTGGGAGAAGATAGTTGCAATACATAAAATCAAAAGGGGCTTATATTAAGAATATATTTAAAAGTCTTCATTGAACAGTAAGAAAACTGTAAGTGGCCTAGAGACTTGATCGGGCACCTTTGTTTACAGGATATCCAGGTGGCCAAAGCTGGTCAAGTTCAATAGCAATTTGAAATATGCAAATTGAAATCACAATGAGATAGCACCACGCATTCACCAGATTGGTTAGTAAATGAACCTGTTCATCCAGCAAGGACACTCTGGGGTGTATAACCCCAAACGTGAGTGCACAAGTACATCAAAAGATATGTACAGTAATGCTCAAAACAGTATTATCTATAACAGCCTGGTACTGGAAACGAGTATTCGTCCCCTAAGGCTGCTGGAGCTGGGCTTCTGTAAACTGCGTTTCTTCGCGTCACCGGCACCTTTTGAGGCTCCGCCAGTAGGGGGCGCTAGAGGAAGCCGGCAAGGCGGGAGGCGAGTTGGGACTTGCATCAGGCACCTGGAGTATCTTAGTGGCAACAGCTCTTTACCTTGGCAGCTGAACTAGATTCGAGTTTCCAGCTTCCCCCACTTCTCAGAACCAGCCTTTACTGTGCCCCTGAACACGTGGCACCAACTGTCCAGCACTCTTCCTCTGGGTTCCACCTCCCCTCAGGCTCTTCCTCCAAGCTCTGGATCCCAGTGACCCCCACTTCTTCCCTTTGTTAACCCTAACATCTCCTGGGCTTCCTTCAGTTGCCACCTCTATGTTTCCTTCAGCCTTTGAGGGCCTCGTTAATAAGCTCCCTCTGTTAAAATAATGCTCGTAAACGGATGTGACCAAGATTCCGTTGTTTGGCATCGGACCGGCCTCCTGACCAGCAATGAATTGAGTTTCATTTCTCTTTTAAACAGAGAATCTCAGGGCCCTGGCCGGTGTGACCCAGTTGGTTGGAGGGTTGTCCTGTAAACCGAAAGGCTGTGGGTTCAATTCCGAGTCAGAGTGATAGAGGACTCAAGAATTGGAACATTTTAGTTTAAGGTAAATAGTTAATAAGCCTAGTGGGTAATGCGTATGTTAAAGCTACTGTTTCAGGAACTGAGGGTATGACCCTCGCTGACCCCCGGACACCGTAAGCAGTTCCACCTCTGTGCCTCAGGGCTGCAAGCAGTTCGAATGGCCTCTGACCCGTTGTGCTCCAAAG